TGTCTCATGAACAAGGTGGCGCACATGTACGCTGAGCCTCAATTTTGCCATGACATATTCCAGGGGTGCAGAGAGCGAAAGTGAGCTTAACCTCTGAAAATCGAGGATGAGCAAAAAAGGAGCAACTAGCGAATCAAACAATTTGGCTTTCTGGGCCTGTTCAGCTAATTGCATTTTTGCCACTACAAACCTTCCATTATCGTAAAATAGAACACCTAAGTATGGAAAAGAGTCTTGAATGTCTAGCTCATTATCCTATAATAGAAATCGATTTCTGTTAATATTCTTTCGTTTAGAAAAATTAACAGTTTTTGTTTTCTATGTGTTTACCGTCAGTTTCCAATTCTCACAATAATCCTGAATAATATTTAGCATTGATTGTAGACCCATCTGCTGTCTCTGACATTACCACTGTATCGTCAGCATATAAAATAACAATTTTGTTTACGTACATACCAATATGATCCTGACAAAGTTCATCAATATTTAGTAAACAATCGACATTTTTTTCTAATTATAGTCTTCTAAATCATTTAAAAATAATGCAAATAAAAAAGGCGAGTAATTTTCCTCTCGTTTTAGTCCGACATTGGAAGTGAACATTTCGACATTTCATTCCCATTTCTCAAACAAGATTTCGTATCAGAATACATGTTAATTAAAGCTTTAAATATTTTACCAGTTATGTTACATTTGAGTAGTTTTTGGCACAAGCCTAGTCGATACACCGAATCGAAGGCTTTTCTAAAGTAGTTTTCTACGTGAGATAGATATAAAGTTGTAAAAACGTATAAAATAAAATGTTGTCTATTTTAGAGTGACCTTTTCTGAAACCTGCTTGATTTTGCGATCACCTTTGTTCCACGGATTCCGTGATTTTATTGATTATTCTGGTACTTCAACTTTCCTGTGTTATACCAGTGTCCAATATTATATTAAACCACGGACTTAGATAATCGAATTCAGTGATTAAACATATCCAACATATACAGGCAACATTGTGTCAACCGTGCTCTTTATGTACTCATTGACTATGTTATCAATACCACACGCTTTGGTTATTGTTTAAATGTTTTACAGCATGAACAATCTCATCAGTAGTAATTCTATCATTCAAAATGTTATCATACAAACATTCATTTACAAGTGGAATTTCACATTCCTCCTCTGTTTCATTATTAACGTTTTTTAAAATAATCATGTAATTCGTCTATTGTCAGATCAACTTTACTTTAGAAAGCAAATAAATTGTCTGAATAATTTGGTTAGTCCTGATCAAAAGATAACTTGTTAAAGTGTTCGCAGTTTGAACTTCGCGCAATAATATTCAAGACAGCACGTGAAATAAAGCTCCGCGCGCGGATGTAAATGTGTACGAGCTCGAGAATGGTGTCGTCAGAGACATATAACATATATGTAGTATATATACGTCTCTGGTGTCGTGTATTACACACATATGTGTATATCATATTTATAGTGAATCTTTAACGTTGATGTAAACTTCATTTTATTAACACGATACATATTTATTACTGTCTGTTGACGCATCATTTCCTCCGTCTATTTTTAAAATACCTCGTCTAGTCATCAGTTTCCGCGCGTTATGTATTTCTGCGCAGCCATTTTATCAAGCTATATATGTATCTCGTAACTACGTGACCTGCTGGACACAACACAAAGATATGTTAGACGTTTGGCCATCGTCTGTAAACTGACATAAAAATTACCGGAAGTTCGTCCGAAAAACATAAGAAATAATCACCGATTAAGAAAACACGCATAAATATGCAGTTTTGCTTAATGCACTTTTTATCTTGCTTAAAATGAGCCCATACCTGAAAAAACGGTGATATATTTCATTCATGAACAGGTCTCTTTTGTAGTTGACAAACGTACGAAAATGTCGTATGCAAATGAGGCCACATCTCGTCGCCGATTTTTGTCCACTTCCGAAGAGCCAAGGAGACATTCTTATATCGATAAACAGTGTTTTCAATGAACCGAAACCTTGCAATGCAATGAACGTCCAATTTTCACCAATTTTAAACAGAACAAAAAGAGAAATAACTTACCATCAACCAAAACCGATATAAAACTGCAGAAAAAAAATCATAACAGATATCTATATTATAACTAAATAAATATAATAAAAAAAATATTTTTTTTTACTTGAATTCGTTCAATTTGACATCTTGAAAAATCTATTAAAAATGTGAAATTTAAAAAAAGTTGTTTTGATAATTAATTTGACGATCAAAGATATTATTTTTTGTATTCCAAACGAAGCTTTTGTTCTTGCAGGTCACTGTGTATTCGAGTTATCTTTCTTTGAATACTAAACCAAAATAGACACACGGAAACATATGACGGCTACTTTCGACGGGAGAAATTTGTTAAAAATTGTTTGTTCTGATATTTTTTAAAATACGGTTTTATGTTGCTAGTTTTTTGTTTCCATTAGTAGATTGTATACATGTTTATGACAGTCATCCGTAATTTCAACAGTTTTCTGCCGATATAAGTACGAAATCGCCGATGCTTCTTGACTTAAGTGCGCGGAAACCGAATTAATGACCTTGACTTATAATCAAGGTCACATGGGTCAAATTTTATTAAAATATTTAAAAGGCTTCTTCTGAATAACCATGAGGCCCAGAATGTTTGATATTTGGGCAGTAGCATGCTTGGATGAAGGGCTTTTGTCATTTGAATGACCTTGACCCACTTCCAATGTCATAGTTGGTCAGATATGCATAAACCCTTTAATGATCTGATCTCATTAAACAAAAGGTCTAGGTGGTAATATTTGGTAAGTTGCATGCTGAGATGAAGGGCTATGAAGTTTGTTCAATGTAATGACTTTCAAGGTCACAGTGGTCAAATGTTTAAAACAATTTTAACAGGGTCTTTTGAATGACTTATAGTCAGCTTTATTTTAGATCACTTTTAAGGTTACAAGTGTGATATTAATACCAGGTGAGTGATACAGGCCCAGTGGGCCTCTTGTTGATTTTGGTAGGTACAGAAGTTCATGTTAGGGGCTCAAGGTTTGAAGTAGATGTTGCTGGAGTACCGGTCAAAATAAGCTAAATTATCCTTATTGTGATGGACAGGAATTACATGGCATCCATTCAACATATGTTTCAGCAAATCAAAATTTCACAGGGTAAATAATTCTTTCTATAAATATATATTAACTGGAATATATCAAATATTCTGTTTATCTAAAAAACCAATTCATATTCTCTAAAACAACTTTGGAATAATGGGTTTGAACAACTTTGTAATGCAAGCAAGCTTATCACACTGGTGTACCAGTAGTGTGTATACTGGTCAAGAATTGAGCTAAAATGTAACCCCTATTCCAAATCTGCAAATGTCTATGTTTGCGTTTCAGTATGTGTTTTGGAAATGGGGATATTAAATTGAGACTCATTGTTCAAGGAGACTTTCACTGTGTAAGTTATAAAAAATATTTTCTCAACTCTCATATAAATGGAATACATTAGCCGGTCAACTAAATGTTTGTCTAATGGGAGATTATCTCCCCCTATCAAAACACTGAAGATTCACACATGATATGACCAGAGTTACAGTCTTTTTATGTCACAAAAGTCATTCAAGTGATCTATAATAAGCTATTGTGATTCTCTGTCGTCCTGCATCATCTATCAGCATTAACGTTTTAGCCCACCATCGTTAGAATTTGCTGGCTGCATAGTTGATGACATTGCAGCTGTCTGATGTGGTCAGTGGTCTGTCGTCCATGAAACCGTCCTTAAATAACCCTTGTTCTTGCTCTTTTTCAAGAAGGCTTGGCAGATCTTCCTCAAATTTCACATTAAGGTTTTTACATCCATATTTGTGCATGTTTGATTTTGGGACTGATCAGAAAACAAAATGGCCATCTTCGATTTTGGCAGTTTGAGTTTGCTATGACTTTTTATCGAAGTACTTAACAGATCTTTCTCATGTTTCATGTGTAGGTTTTCCATAGTCAATAGCTGTCCATGTTTGATTTTGAAACTGGTTAGCCATCTTGGATTTTGAGAGTTCAAGTTTGTTATATCTATTTCTTCAGAAATAAACAATCTTCACTTTGAAAGAAATTTCTCAAACCCAGTAGTATGAAATTTTGATGTATATTTACCACCAGAGGCATTTCATGTTGAAAAAAGCAATGTATAAGACAGAAAAGAATAAAATTTAATGAAAAAGATGAAGCGTACATAGAGCTAATGAAGATCTTATAATGATGGTTACCAGATCTTTCTGAGATCACTTGTTTACTTCTCTTCAAAAACTGTCTTGTCAGATAATGAAACTTGATGGTAACCGTCAACCTGAAGTCAGGGATCAGAATCTAAAGAAGGCTGACCCCACAGGGAAAGCATAGGGGCTGGGGTTAGGGGTTGGAGGTCGGGGTATAAGAGGTCACAAAGTGCAAAATATTTTTAATCATCCACGAGGAAGAACTGCACCAGATATCATCTTGTGCTACCAGGACTGTGGCCAAAATTTGCACCAGGCGGAGAAAGTGTTCTGTTGCCAGGAAACAGACATGACAAAGGGCCGTGACTTGGAGAAACTGCTAAAGAAAGGGAGCGTAATAATACAGCAAGAAAAAAAGAAAGGGAGCGTAATAATACATCAAGAAAAAAAGAAAGGGAGCGGAATACAGCAAGAAAAAAAGAAAGGGAGCGTAATAATACAGCAAGAAAAAAACAAAGGGAGCGTAATAATACAGCAAGAAAAAAAGAAAGGGAGCGGAATACAGCAAGAAAAAAAGAAAGGGAGCAGAATACAGCACGAAAAAAATAAAGGGAGCGGAATACAGCAAGAAAAATAAGGACAACCCAGCGCTAGTGTCCTCCAAACTCGGTCATACCAGGTAACCTTAAATGGTGTGTGGACAAAAGCACAGGTGGCCAAGCAATTTACAATTACCAAATTCAGAGCAAGGGAGATAATACATGTATGTGACTCAGCTGACATGAGGTGTGGCTTTGCTGGTTGGAACATGGCTTCATAATGTCATAACATCACAAAAAAACCCAGACCATTGGCAGATTTGACTTTCCCAACAACACAAACACAATGCCATGATTGGGGAGAAAACTTCCAGAATCACCAACATCGGGGGAGTAAAGAAAGGCTGCACGGTGGCCATGTGAGGGATAACATCTAGTTATAAAGTTTTTATGGTACTGTGTGCAGAGTACAGGAAATGTTATAAAATAGTAAATGATAAAATATGCAACTACTGCAGATATTTTATTTCCATTGAATAAATTTCATTCATTATTTGTCGTAAAACAGAAATTATATTGCTTCAATTGATAGACTTCAATTAAGTGCTATTATTTCATTATTATAGATATCATCATTCTGTTCATTTGTGGAGAGGAGTACTGGGATACGATCATCACTGACAGTCCTGTCCAAACCACAGATATCTGCCACACCCACTGAATGTTTGGAGCCATCTTTGATGATAATCAGCATCTCTTCAGACCGGCCAGCTAAGATGCTACACTTGTCCTTTTTAAGCCAGTGTGATACAGACATGTCACCGACCCCAGAGCCCAGAGGTTAGTTTATTGTGCCAGATGTAAATTATTGTTCATAAGTCATATCCAATTCATTTAGAAGAGCTGCAATGATATGCATATCACAGTATGATGTTTACAATACGATATGTACATATACAAATATCTGCTTAATGATTGAGTACAGGATTTTATGGAGTTTTATCATAGACATGAGAGTAAAAACCTGTTCAGTCATATTTTTCTTTGATTTTTAGTTCTTTCTGGTACGACTGCACCATGCACCACATCTTAGCTGAAGGATTCCAAAACAATAAGTAAATTCTTGGAGTGAAATAAAAATATAAATTGATTATTTCAGTAACCTAAATGTATCTTGTTGCAGGCACACAAAGCAATTACATAGGGTTATTAATCAGCTAATTCTATATTGGCCCATTTATAATTATTAGCCCAAGGTCTGTCATAATATGTGACAGAACAAGGCCTTATAACTTGACAATGTGGAATTAGCTGATTAATGACACTTGTATTAATTAAATACTTGTTTATTATTGGCAATAATCCTAAATGAACAAAAATAAACTGATTAAATTCGACAAATTTATTAACAATAATTTCAAGATATTGTTCAGTTGATTTCTTCCTGTGAACTAGACATGGACTGACTGTACTTCACTTTTTTCTGGGCGGCATTACATTGATATTTATGGTACCTCCTGAGATATGTACACCACTTAACAGAGAAAAGGGCAGATAACCTTGTAGTTCAGAATTCGCCATTGAGTATGTACTACTAATATATCATTAAGTAATGTCTGGCTTAATTAGGGCCCCGTCTCGGAGATATGGTTGCCCTATAGTAATCACTCTGTCTGTCTGTCCGTCTGTCCATCCACACATTTTGTTCCTGGCTGATAACTTTGGTATTTATTGATCAATGTACATGAAACTTGGTCAAGATGTTCAGTTTACAACAATACACGTTGAGGTAAAAAGTCAAGGTCAAGGTCATTAGGTTCAAAGGTCAAGGTCAAATTTTGCATCTTTTCACTGATGAACATTTTGTTATGTCATGATGAAGCAAAGTTGATCAAAATTAAACAAGGAGTCAACCTGACCAAATGTCAAGGTCATTTGGTCAAAGGTCAACGTTAAATTTTGTATCTTTCACTGGTGAACATTTTGGTATGACACTTTGAAGCAATGTTGCTCAGAATAAAACAAGGAGTAAATTGACCAATGGTCAAGGTCACTGAAGCAAAGGTCAAGGTTAAATTTTGTTATGCCAGTATGCAGCAATGTTGGTCAGAATTAAACAAGGAGTCAATTGACCAAAGGGCAAGGTCACTGGGTCAAAGGTCAAGGTCAAATTTTGTATCTTTTCACTGATGAACATTTTGTTATGACATTATGAAGCAAAGTTGGTCCGAATTTAAAAAGGAGTCAACTGACTTAAGGTCAAGGTCATTTTATGTTATTATGTAGCAAACTTNTTAATGGTCAAGGTCATTTGGGTCCAAAGGTCAAAGACAAAGTGGATCTCTGACTTTGACCCTGGCTCTTGATGGAGGAGGTATATAAGGTGAAATAAAACAAATCAAAGCTAACAAATGAGTATTGCACTGGTATTTACATTTCTGTTAGCCCAGCAAATATGGAGGTGGAAGGAAACAAGACTCACATCATAGTACATGTAAAATGTATATTTTTTTCTTTTTAAAGTCCAAATGTCAAATGTCAAGCTCAGCTATATGGGCAGATTGCTTCTTGATGATTATGGGGGATATATTGCCACAAGACGGGGCCCTTACTGACCTGTCAGTGTTCTAGTTAGCTCGCTTAACACTTCGTATCTAGTAATGTCATGCATTAAAACCGCTAGCATGTCTTCGCCATTTTGGGCGGAGCTGTCGGATGCTCGCTTCATGGTTTGTTGTCTTCTGCCGTTGTCAGTGAAGCGTTACTGAAGGTGAAGGTAGTTATCGTCGATAGGTATAGAAATGTTCCGAATAATATGGCATGCGTTTGATTTGTGTGTTATCCATATTTGCCCAGTTTATCCCATATTGGCCCAGTTTGATATGATATTGATTGAGCAGTTTTCTCATATTATTGTCAATATGCAAGTAGTTAATTAATAAAAAACAATATACAAGAAAGTATCACCATACGATACGGTACAATATGTCATTGTGGCCTTTGGTTAGGGTGTATATATAGTTATCACTTTTCAGTTCATTTTTTGTGCATCCCTGTCCGTCTGTAAAAACCTTGTGTACAGATATCTCCGGATCCATTGTCAACACTCAAGGGGTTACACACACTCTCTGTACCCCTGGAACGTGGTATTAAAATGGCATTTCTTGTTGAAATAGAGTGCTGGTTTAGATAAAAAAGAAGATTTACAATATTAGCGGTGTCTGATATAAAACAATATATACATATAGACATGATTGAAGGCAGAGTTTGAACAATTGATGTGTAAAAATGTCTGCCTGAAAGACAATGATAGTATATAATTAGTGGATATATACCGGTACTGACTTATTCAAATGTGACTTCTCGTTTAAATGAAATTTTTGTTTGGATGAACAAAATATGTGTCTGGCACAAAATTAATTACTTAAACGTATTTTTAAAGACAGGACTTGGACAGTTGATACACAATTGTGTCCAACTGAAAGACATTGATATTGGTGAATATTTTACTAGCTCATTAATAGTTAAAAATTCTTGTTGAAATATAATTTTTGTTTCAATTAATAAAAAAGGTTAACGATATCAAATATATGTATACCTGATTGAAGCCGGAATTTGGAGACATGATGCGTTCACTACTACAGGGCTATGGTAAAGGTGAATATTTTACTAGGATGAATACGGCAGAACATCGATATATTGGGTCGCAACATAGCAGGTTACGTCGTATGTACACATACTGCATGGGTATGGATTATAGAAAACAACAACAAAACACCACAACAAGTGTCTGTACAGCACTGGGAAGTATTCCACTCTGCCAACACTCGCGTACATGTAGCCTCAGAAAATCTACACCGTCATCATTAATCCAAGCTTTGTATAGGAGACACTACTATTGAACAGGAGACATTGTTGTTGTTGAGAATTATCCTGTAGCAGATTCTCAGCAGGAGGTATGTGTAAGGGATGTCTGCAATGAAGCGGCTAGCCAGCAGCCGTTGGTGCACTGTGATGACTCTTCAGTAGTGTAGAATTGGAGGTGTCATTATGAGGTCATCGCTGTGTGTGCCAAGTGGAATGGTATTCCATCTGTAGGTAATTGTTAAACATTAGCAGCACCAGCATTTCAACCGCAATCATGTAGAATCAACGCCAATTCGGGTGCCACCATTATCTCCTTAGATAACCCCAGGACAAATACTATTAGGTAAGATTTGACTAATATGTTTGCCCCCTAGTGTGACATGGGACAATTTCAAGGTTTTAATATCACGAAGTAATAATATAATCATTTAGGATCTATGGCAATAAGTGTGAGATACTTACCTTTACAGTTTATACAGATATAACATGTAAAGATGTTTCTTGTACTTTCGTCTCATAAAATTATATCAGATTGATAATTTGACAATTACACTTACTTATATGTGTAACATATACTGGTGATCCTTTTAAGCTTTGGTAAGATATGTGTGTTATTTTGGCTACTACATTACATAAATCTGTGATATCAGTGTGACGAGGCTTTGATGCTGTCGACACATGAGTGGAATCTTTGGCAGTGGCTTGTGTCACAAATACCTTTCACAAAGGAGGCACATACAGTATGTCTTATATACGCCATTAATTACCGTGCAGGATTTTAATACAGCCAATTCATGTATCCTTTGGAATCTTTGGCAATTGCATGCATTTCTGCATCATTGTAGTAGATATTCACTGACAAATAGGATACATTATGTAAGACGTGTTTTGTATTTTGGCTGCTATATATATATATAGGTGATGCTTATAACAGCCATCTAGGTTAGAACCAAATTAAATGTTACATGTTATAGCAGTGTTACCTGCAGACATCTAATTCCAAGATGAATCGTTTACACTTTTAGCTTGTGTGTCTACATATACATCGTATATACACAGCCATGCAATGTACTGAATGTCAGCAGGATAGACACAGAGTTCTTGTGTGTTACAACGTGTGTTTCATTGGAATCCAATGTATTATATAATGCATTATGTATGACAACAGAGCACGGAAGCTGTGCGTTATAGATGGATATCAATCAAGATGTCAATGTTATACAGAATCAGCATATGTGTAGTTATTTTCAAAAGTTATGATGAATTATCAAGAATTTGTATAAAGTACCTGTAGTTAAAATTCCATGAATTAAAGCCTATTTAGAATATCTGAAAATTTTACTGAAGCATCCTAATAATCAACACTTCGTTTCCATGCAATAACTGCAACAAATGTTAACCAAATTTTCTTCAAATTTGGTAACAGGGTTAAATGCCTTAAGGGCTCAGCCAAGTTTGACGACCACTTTCAATGGACTTTATACAGCGGAGTTATATGGCCCCTTGATTAATGAAAAACATAAATATCTGCCATTTCCGTGCAATAACTACAACAAATGTTAACCGATTTTCTTCAAACTTGGTTACAGGGTTAACTGTCTTAAGGGCTAGACCAAATTTGATGACCTCTTTAGCGGACTCCATTTGGCAATGTTATGGCCCCTTGATTAACGAAAAACGTCATTATGTGCAGTTTCTTTATAAGGCTTTTTTTTTCTTTGAGTTTCAAGCTATACATTATGTCTCAACAGCACGATACTCAAGTGTTTAAACCTAACCTCAATAATATTTACCTGCAATATGTCCTGCAAGTGGGGGATATAAATTCCAAGAATTTGCATGCTATACTAAACACACTGAGATTTATAAAAAGTATTTTTCCAGTGGCAATTGCCAAAAACCTATTGAGACCCAAATCTACTGTTTCAATGTGTCTGTTGTTGGAGTCAGGTCAGTACAAGGACTGTCCTTTG